CTTACTGCGCACAGGGGCATCACCACGCTCGCAGATGACCACTGTTTCGGGTCTTGCACGCTCAGCACAGCCACAACAGTCTCCGGCCGGTCATTCGTGAAGTTCGTCAGGGACGTGGGGGCTAAGCGCGTGGACTCCTTCTTGCCGTGTGAGCGCAGGGGTACATGGAGACATCCGCATACGTACATGTGGTATGAGATCGACAACACACTCACATTGAGGAGTCTGGGACGCGCATTCCGGCACATATGCACGCATGCTACGAGCTTCTCGGATCACATGGCAAAGCCGAACACGATGTGTTTACCCACGAGTAAGACACTACAGGCACAGCAAGAGCGCAAACAGAAGTTTTTGGCCCTCACACGAGCACGAGAAATGGCACGAGCGCAAACACACTCCCTCTTCGGAATGACCTCCTGCGGGACCCCACGGAGCTCAGCACACGACACCGGCAACAGTGTCAAGATCAAGTCAGAAAGCTGACGGCGGAAGTTCTTGACCCCACCAGGGGTAGACCGCGAAGTGTCCAGTTTCCTCAAGATCAAGATTCCCTTCACTGATTTGTAGATGGGTCGGGGGACGGCAAGGGTAAGGAGGCGGGATGGGGAGCGGCTTCGTTCGTCGGGGATGAGGGGGAGAAGGCCAGTGGGCGACAGGGCCAGGACAACGAATCGATCACAGACCCGATGGAGACATGGCACGGGCCAATAACGTGTGAGGAACAGGCCGTGGACTTTCCGGGGGCGACATGCAAAGCGAACAACACTGGCGCAATGTCCGCCATCTGCGCGGTCCTCCTCCATCTCGGCGGTGGACAAGCCTCCCTTCAGTAAACCTCACCTTCGTGAAAACGGCCTGGGACCGAAGCCGACGGACCAGGACCCGCAAAAAAATAACGGCATCGACGCCCCCTCGCGAACCGAGAGCGGCCAATTCCTGAATCGACGTGTCAGGGTAGGAGGTCTACCCACCTCCGAGCATCTCATGAAGCTGGGCAACACTCCTACAGTCGGGACGTTGACCTAAGGAACCCTGAATAAAGAACGAGGCCCCTTTTTCCCATCCGTGAAGGTTCGGTTTCCCACCGAAAAAACCGGAGGAAAACCTGGGGCAAGCTGTGAAACAATCAAGGAACACGGAGCCCCTCCCCAACGAAAAGGGTTCCTTCTTCAGCGCCGGCGCCGGGCGCGCCGGTTCCGCGGGCGCCGCCAGGATCGACGCTGCGCTGAAAAAGGGCGTCTGCACCAAGACTGGGCTCCTCCCTCCTCCTGATCCTCCTCCTCCTCCTCCTCCTCCTCTTCCCCTCCTCCTCCTCCTCCTCCTCCTCCTCCTCCTCCTGCTCCTCCTCCTCCTCCTCCTTCCCCCCTCAGCTGCGACCTGCCGTGGCAGCACGCGCGCGGCCAACCTGGCGCGAGGCCCGCGGAAGGCCCGAACACAGCGCGGCTCTCTCGCCCGCAGGGCCGCCGGCGACTCCACAGCGAAGGGGCCCCAGGACACACCTCCTCCACCTCCTCCTCCTCCTTCTCGTCCTCCTCCTCCTCCTCCTCCTCGTCCTCCTCCTCCTTTTCCTCCTCCTCCTCGAGGCCCCAGGACACACAGAGATAAATACACACAAATAGCATGATTCACCATCTTTTCCCATATTTCTTGGGATTTTGTCTTCCCCCCACTTCCCATATATTTGGCATATCTTCCCGGGATTCGACGATTCATTGTGTCTCTGTGTGTTTCTTTTTCCCTCCTGACACAGGCAGGCGCCAGCCCTTCGCCCCCCGCGTCCCACTCCTGCTCCTCTTTGCGCTTTGAGTCCGCGGCGTGCCCAGGAAATCGACGGACACTGTGTTGCAGATCGCTGCTGCCACATCCACCGACCTCCCTTCCCGACGCCGTTTTTCGGTGCAAGCCCTCCCGACGCGAGGGCGGAGGGATTGGCTCAGCTTTTTCACACGCCCCATCTGCGGGGCTCGAGCGTCTCGTCCACGCACCGGCGCGCACTGGAGTCTGTGGGAGCGCGGTCGCCGATGTGGCCGCACTGAGGAGGGCACGACTGGCGACCTCGTGCCCACCTTCATGCCCGAACTGGCCTCGTGTGGAGCCCACACTGGTTCAGGAGGACGAGGAGCCGGAGTTTGAATCGGAAAAGGCCCTTTTCGGCTTCGGGGGCGCCATGGACAACCCGGCCCTTGTGCACGAACAGAGGGAAGAACGAGGAGATCAACAACAACACGGGGGAGGACAACATCAGGGGGGAGGACAACATCAGGGGGGAGGACAAGGAGGAGCATCTTAAGGAGGAGGCCAACAACAACACCAATGGGGAGGACAAGGCAGAGCATTAGAAGGAGGAGGCCAACAACAACACGAACGTGCAAAAAGAAGAAACTGAGGGAAACAAACGCCGAACTACGACGACGAGAAGCTTGAGCAAGCGAAGAGCCATGGGGGCCCAACTTGGAACCAGCTAAGCTCTATTCTTTGGCGGTCGGCGGAGGACACGGTGGGACGAAGGAAGCGTTCGTCGGTGGGGGCTTCGTTTGAAGAAGCAGACTATGACGAGATCCTTCTGCTGAGGGAGGAGCTGCAACAAGCCTGGGAGAAAAACGGGAGGCTGCCACCCCAGAAGCTGCTGCCCAAGCGCGCCGAGAGCATCGACACCTTTAATGTCGTCTTCGACACAGACGATGTCGTGCTCGTGGACAATTCCTTCGTCATCGCTGTCCTGATTTAGAAGAGAATATGGCTAAGAACGACATTGGGAATTTATACAAAAACATGAAGGGGCTAGGCATATACATGTATGGCAAACTGAACATAAGCATGGAGCCGCATGACATGGAGACCGTCGTCAAGACCTTGGAGTCGCAGGGCAATGAAGTCTTCGAGGGGGACCCCGAGGTCACCGATTTCGGCCTCCCAGCCCGGTTCACCAAGCCAGAGCTGAACAAGCTACCTTCGGAGGAGGAGACACTCGAACATATCGCTCAACTGAAAGAATCAGGACCAGGCGTGGACGAGGTGACGGCGCTGATGTTGAAGGAGGCCGGCGAGGAGTTCCACTCGTTCCTTGTGCCGCTGCTCTAGAGACTGTGGGCCCAAGACCCGGCACTGTGGGAGCAAAGCCTCTGCGAGGTGGCGGGGTTCAAGCTTTACAAGAAGGGGGCCCGGGACGACGCCAACAAGTACAGGGCAATCTGGTTGATCAAAATGGTCGTGCAATTGATGGAGCGCCTTGATGCCAAAAGGATCTCTTCGTACTTGGAGGCGGAGGGGCTCCTGGCAGAGTTTGCCTGGGGATTTCGGCCCACTCTGGTGAGCAGCCTGATCTTGGAGTTCTGCATTTCTACCAAGACACCTTTGGACTGGGATGAGTTATGTCTCATTCTCTTTGATATCAAGAAGGCGTACCCGAGAGTTCCACAGGCTACCGCGGAGAGAATATGTCATCGTTCAGTCTGGCCGCCCAACATGATTCTTCGAGCGTGTGCTTATGGCAGTCGCTGTTCTTATCAGATGCGTACCAAGGAAGGTTCAACGATGAAATTCACCATGACGGTGGATTCCGAGAGGGGGGACCTGCTTCACCTGCTAAGTATGATGTCGATCTTGCCCACAGTAGTCAGTAGTCACCATGTCCAGATTTCCATCGCCTCCCAGAAGTGGTCAGGTGGGAGTCGACATATGACAGCAATCGGTCACAGGATTAATGCACCACGGATGAGGTATACGAGCTGAACACCAGCATCGGCGGGCAGATCTTCCGGAGCCTCTCCAGAGGAAGGGCTTCGAGGACACGTTCAACATTTTGCACATGTTTTTTGCCGACGATGCTTCTTGTTGGTGTCGATACTCTGAGCGCAGCAATGTAGAGGTCCTCATGATATCTACTTTTGAGAAACGGGGAGAAACAATTCACTCACCGCGGGAAGACAGAACGCCTCAGGACACACGGCACAGCAGGAGATGCATGTTTTGTGGAGCATGCTCGTTTTCTGAGAGCTTGGCTTCAGGCGAATGGGCACCACGAGATGGACACGGCTGAGGCTCCGCTCCGCCTGGCACATCTGGCGCAAGCTGCGCCAACAACTGCAACGCATACGGATCCCAGAAAAATGTCTTGGCAGAGTGATCAACACCACCATCGTGGCATGTCTCTTGTTCGGCCACGAGTGCCGGAGTATCATCAGTGACCAGCTCCAGCAACATAGGGTCTTGTTGAACAAAATCGTCAGAGGTGTTTGATCCGCGAGTTGAGAACGGACCGTACTACCGCGCGAGATCTTTATCATCGTCTTCATTTGGATGACATCGAGACTTTGGTGGCTTGGCACCAAAGCAACTGTCTCGGACACGTTCTACGCCGGGACAACAACAGGATCGAGAAACGCATGCTCAAGTCGGTCGTCGCCCCGAACTGCACGTATGCCTGCCAGAGGAAAGAGCCCCCTTCGAACAGCCAGGCTTTCAAACAGCGTCTCCAGGAGTTGGCTCAACACACACAAATTATTCGGATGAGTTTTTCGATAACCTCGAACACTTCTCCCAGGATCGAAACGGTTGGAAGCTGACTTGTTCGTCAAGGGCGTAAACGGCGACGCCGGGAGCTGACTAAGGAGACCTGGTTGGCCAAGCAGGGTTCGGATCTAGATCGTGATCTCGCAGAAGAACGAAAACAACCCTGGGTGGAGGCACTTTTGGGGGTCGAGTTCGACTCATAAGGTTTCGCGGTATGTCCGCATTGCGACGAAAAGATTCATCGTGGAGGGTGCCTACGACATTTCCCAGCTTGTGCTCGCAGGACCCCGGAGCACCGTCGCCAGGCCACCGCTGCCAGGGCCCAGGCGGCAGCCCGAAATCAGAGAGTAAACGATGCTCGTGATCAAGGACTTCCTGCTCCCCCTGCGCTGGCTCCGGTACCCCGGGTGGTGGAGGCGTGGGACACGGCCATCTCCTTGCTGGACCCACACCGGCTCCCTCGTAGTCTTCAACCAGGCCTACTGCAAGGAGGCGGAGGCGGAGGAGGAGCAGGAGGACCGTCGGGATGTGCTGAAGGAGGACAAGGAGGCGGAGGACAAGGGGGAGAGGGAGGAGGCCAAATACAAAGGGGAGGACAACATCAGGAAGGAAGATAATGAGAAGGACCAGAAGGAGGTGCACGAGAGGATGCTCGTCGCCTGCTTCGGGGGGA